CAAACTCTAAAATATTTAATCCATGCACAACCCTGTGGGATATTTTCATAATTTTATAGATACTATAAAAACTTGATGTTTAATAATTCTTATATTTATTACTATTACGGAAATAACAACATTGTTAAATAGTATGAGGAGAAAGAAGGCATAAGAAAATAGTATGATTTTTTAAAGTTATTATTGTGTTATATATTGGCTCATTCTTAGTATTTGTATATTCTGAAAAACTAGGTTCAATGTATTATTTTTTAAGTGAGCTGTATTTTTAAATATGCCCCAAATTATCAAATAGCTTCAGTAAAATCTACCACTCTAAGGCCATAACATAAGTGATTATATTCTCTCTCCACAAGTCTACACACACCTCTGGGAAACAAGCTGTTGTAAACAGGAGAACTTGAAAGTCAGACTCCTGTTTTAAATTCTAGGAATGCAGAAATGGAGTAAGCAAGACAGTTACTCTTCTGAACATCCCAGTCAACTCATAATATTAAAAGGTAGAAGGATCGCAGAACCTGGAGTGACCAACTTGGCCTAGAATGTTCCTAAATTTTCCACCAATGAGTTCACACTTGACTAGAATGTTCAACTAAGTTTACTAGTTGCAGAAGGCAGACAGGAAAAAAGCCTCCCAAGAAAAAGGAATAGCATGTATTTCCTCAGCTTTACAGCCTATTGAGATTTTCATAGTTTAAGAATTTCAAATTATTACAAATTGTGACCAAAAAATTACTCATAGCACCAGATTGGACAAGAGCTACTACTTGAACTCCTTTTACCAGTATTGAATATAAAGAATTTGAAACTATAATGTTGAATTCAAAATTTGTGATAATATACACATTGACCCTTCCTCAAATCGTGTGATGATTTTGCCAGTTGGCAATCTTGCCTTAATTAAGTTGGTACAATGTTTACTTGTTTGTGTGTGTTTCATTTAAAGCCAGAATGACGCCATGTTGTTTGCCAATCATGGAAAAAGAAAAATATGCATAAAATTCCTCTTAGTCTGATTTATTTTTAGTAGCAATAGCAACAATTGCTAAATTTGAATAATATTTTGTAGTTAACAATAAGCTTTCCCTCCTGTGTTCATTTAATAAATCCTTTGTTATCAATATACAAAATGTGTTAACCACTTGAAGGAATTAGAAGAGAAGAAAGGGCAAGATATTTATGATCAGTCTGTTAATGATCAGACACTTTTATTAGTTGATTTATGTATATTGTAAAACCATTGCCAAAAACAAAAATATTCCATAATCCCCAGTCATCTTTGTTTACCTCTATTTCTATAGTTTGGTAGACTATAATGATTACAAAACATTAGCAAGACAGCACAATTCAAAATGTAAGTGTTTTCTTTAAAATAACTTACCAAATAATTTTCCAAATGCATTTCCTTTTTGTGAGGATTTCAAACAACATTTAAATAAAATGTATCCAGTGAAAGTAAATAGGTAGCACTCGATTGGAAAATCATTCTGGAAATAATTTGCTTAAATCTGTAACCACGTGCTAGCTTAAAGAGCACATTACACCAGTCCTAGGCAAGTTTAGGGATGGTGCAGAGCAGGGCCACCATTGAAAAGATGGGATCCCAGGAGACATCCCTCCCATAGCATTTATGTCTGTGTCCAGAACAGCACAGGGAAGGATTCTCCTTCTAAACTGAAATAGAGGTGTGGCCCTGTTTTTCCTAAAAAGGATCACTTTTCTGTACTTTACTATTTTCAGCAATTTTATTTTTAAAATATTCTCATTGCTCTCCTCTGTGGAAAAGAGCGATGAAGCACATAAGACGAAACAACTTTAGTGTGTTCCATTTTCATTCTGGTTGAGGTCAAACACAACAAATAGGTATCTTGTTCCTGACAGTCATCAACCTAATGTTTTTGTCTATGTTCATATATTACTGTAAATTAAGGACGTTCATAAGATGACCTGTATCTGTGCCTTATATTTCTAAATAGATACAAAGTTTTCATCAAGGAAAGGACTTCCTTTTAAGCGCATTTTTTATGCTCTCAGTAATTTGGCTCTGGGCAAAGGAAAGCAAATGGCAAAGTGTCTATAGCAGAGATAAGATATATAACTGGTACTGCAGAATATTATCTTTCCTTTGCTCTGTGAGTATAGCTTTGTTTGACTTCTGTTAATTCTCAGAGCTTTCTAAGGAAGAGAAAACGTGCCAGATGATGTCATTTGGCATCCTGAATAGATTTTGTCACATGTCACATGTATAATTTTGTTTTTGTCTAAATTAAGGATATTTGATACCTTGAATCCTTAGACCCAGAACTTGATCTAGGCAGGTACAAATAAGTTAATTTGGGAGTTTTAACATTTTATTAGGTATTTTTAGGATTGAATGTATTGTCAGAGAAAATGGCAATATTAGACCTTCCAAATTTGTTTATTTATTTACCTACATACTTACTTACTTCTCAGAAAAGAGCCAGGGAGAGCAGGAGGGGGAGGGGCAGAGGGAGAGAGAGAATCTTAAATAGCCTCCACACCCAGTGTGAGCCTGATGTGGGGCTTGATCTCAGGATTCTGAGATCATTACCTCAGCCTAAATCAAAAGTTGGAAGCGTAACTGACTAAGCCACCCAGGCACCCTTTTACCCTCCAAATCTGAGTATGAAAAGGACCCTTTAAAATGTTGAAAGTAATGCAAACGGTGAAGAAGAGAGTGAATGAGTGAGTGAGAGAGAAAAGAAAGGGAAACTTCTAAGACCTTCTCCTCTACTGGACCATAAAAGTTTTCTGTTCTGTTTTTCTGATTCTAAACCATCCCACTCCTGTGGGGCACACTGTGCACTGTAGTGTCTCCCCAGGATCTCCCAAGGCTATTAGTCTCACTCCCGTCTCCCCAACCTGGTTTATTTTACTTCACCAACATAGAGCATCAACTAGCCTTCGGCTGTTAGCTCCTCAAGAAGGTTGTGCTCTGTCACCCTCTCTGTGCTTGCTTCATTGCCATTTCATGCATTCTTCAAAGCCCACCTCCTTCAAAGACCTATGGCAGTATTCTCCTTGAGCAGTTCACTTGTATGAAAGCATCACGGAGAAGCATCAAGTTTATGGAGAAAGTTCCAATCGCAGATCAATCCTGTCCTCTGCAGGATTAAGCTGGCTCAGTTTACTTGAGGATTATGGTTAAGCCTCAACCTGATCTTTTTCCATCCTTTTCCATCATATTCCTCCACATACTCTGTAGCATAATTGCACTGGAAACTTCTTTGAGAACATACATTTTCCTTCTCTGTTTGATACTTTGCTTGATATATGGTATTTCCCTCCAAGTATGAGAGTGTTAAACTGATGTTTCTTGAGTCTTTACTGTGTGCCAGGAACTATGCTAAAGGTTTTATTGAAATTTCTCACTTAGCCCCACAGTTATACTATGAACCAGAACTTTTACTTTTCCAAATAACATGAAGAAGCTCAGGTGTAATGAGGTTTAATAACTATCTCCTAAGATCCATTTCTCCATAGCGATATTTCACATTCCCCTACCCCCTGCACTACTTCAAAATCAATGAAGTGCTAGGCAGCCAAAGAAACCTTTTGATGAATAGGCCTTATGATTTGGAAGATGTGAATTCTTTTCAGTATTGAGCCTTTTTTTCTTATATCAAAAATCTGCTCATAGGGACACCTGGGTGGCTCAGTCGGTTAAGCGTTTGCCTTCAGCTCAGGTCATGATCCCAGGGGCATTGGTTCAAGGCCCACTTCGGGCTCCTTGCTCAGCAGGAAGCCTGCTTCTCCCTCTCTTGCTCCCCCTGCTTGTGTTCCCTTTTTCCCTGTGTCTCTCTCTGTCAAATAAATAAAGTCTTTAAAATAGATCTGTACATCTTTTCAGGCTCAATTCATATGTGATCTCCTCAGTCTCTCTAGTGAGCCTCTCAGCTCCGTGCTCTGCATCATAGCCATCTCTGCTGCATAGATCCTGGAAGGTCTATGACCAGTATGACCAGCAAGCATTATCTGGAGCTTTTGAGAAAAGCAGACCATGGCTACACTCTGCAACTACTGAATCAGTGATTCCATTTTAATGGGAGCAAGCTCCAGCTGATTCATATATATAATAAATTTTGAGAAACAAAGTACTAGATACTTCTTTCTGCATTTCATTATTCAAAACAACTAATGATCATTCCTCGTTGCCTGAGATTTCCAAACAGAAGGGCTAGTGTGTTATTTATATTTGTCTCACCCACGGTGACTTGCCTAATACTTCCCATATGGCTGCTACTCGACACATTTTTATTAAATATATTTATTAAACTGAGAGAAAATTCCATGGGAGTTATATCTTTATATCTTCCATAACTCAGAGAAGCAAGATTCTCCTCTAGACTATAAGTTCTGGGAATGTAGTTATTATATCTAGTTAGTTCATGGGGTGCCTACCTAGTACATGGAAGTTACTTCAGTGATTAATGATGAAGTGAAGCACCGGGTAAACTAATCGAGATGATTGATTATGAATCAAAGAGAGTGTTTTAGAAGTATAATTTAACTTAAAATTTATTTAGTTAACAAATACCAATGAGAACTTACATATCAAGGAGTGGTATAAGTTCTTCTTTTGGTATAGTTCTTTACAAATATTAACTTGCATTCTGAACTAAGATTGCTTGGTCAAACATAAATCTATGTTAAATCAATAAAGGTTGACTCAGGATACCACAGTCAATTCTAATATACCATGTAGCACGCCTACTTTAGGTCATTTTTTTCAGATGAGTAATTAATGTGCTCTAGTTGATATAAGCCAGCAGTATTTAAATAATTTTTAAATGTTTTCCTTTCAACAGATTAATTGTAAGTAAACACTTCAGTACATGGTATGCCACTCACTTCTGCTTGGCATTAAAATAGAACATCCAGATATTTCAGCAGAAACCCATATTCCATTTCAGATGTACTCTGACAAATTCAGTCACACAAATTCAGGATCACATATGTGCATAATTTTATATTTAAAGGGAGGGAAGATCCCAATCCGATGGACATCACCAGAAGCTATAGCTTACCGCAAGTTCACGTCAGCCAGCGACGTATGGAGTTACGGGATTGTTCTCTGGGAGGTGATGTCCTATGGAGAGAGACCATACTGGGAGATGTCCAATCAGGATGTAAGTATTTTTAGTCAATGAATTATGGGTTCAGATTAAGAGATCAAGCTGTGCAAGGAAGTGGAGCATAATGAAACCAGGTGGCTCCGTTTGTGACATTGAAATAGAATACTTAGAAGAAATGAAATAGTTTCCAAGTCTTGCAAGGGTGTTAATTGAGTTGCTCTTACAGATTTACACGTTTCCCTGAAGCAGGGGTTTAGAAATGAGACAAAATAAGGACATTTGTAATAAGAATGTAATGAAATAAGTGACTGAAAGGATAGTCAATAGATATCGGGGACTGTTTGAAGTATTTTTGCTATAAAATTGTTTCTATGTAACATTAAAAAGCCACATGTCTGCCATTCTCTGTAGATCTAATTAATGCACCTATGCCAGCATTTTGTTTACTTAAACATAGTGTTTCCCAGTGTCAGACAAAGCAACCAATGTCTGTGTGTTGTTTTTCTTAATGTATTAAACTTACATGTGAATTTAGTCATACAAATTGAAGTATATGGTTAGAAAAATAATGTTAAACTTTCTATTGTAACTGTGATATGATTTTTGAGAAGGATTTTTGGTTTTAGAAGTCATGTCTTGCAAATGCTTAGTAAAAGAATGCTGTTGACATGGGATCAGCGCTCAGAGGCTTTTCTTTTTCCTTAGCCAAAGACTGTGAGCATGATCTCAAAGATACATGAGATGGAAAGCTCAGAAGTTTTTAGTCATTTGCTGCCCACTACATATAAAACTGTTTTTACCATATTTGCATATAAAACCTTTCTGTACTCTCCAATCCAGCTATGTTTATAATAGTGCTGGGAAAATCAGACTCACTTTTCCACATCTCTATTGTCCAAATTTTCTCTGTATTTGAGGATCTCAGACTGTGGGCTCTGGACCAGCAGCTTTAGCAGGGCTTGGGAATTTGCAGTAATGCAAATTCTCAGGCCTTCCTCTAGACTTATGGAATCAGAGGAGAATAATCTATATATTAAGTCCTCCAGATTATTCTGATACACAGTAAGTTTGAAAATCACTGTTTTATGTGATTTAAAAGTACAAATGAACTAATAATCACTTCATTGTTCAGCACATAGGATCCTACCTAAAGAACTTACTATGATTTGGGAGGTACCATTTGAATGAAGTATAAACAAAATCTGTACACTAACTTTTTCTGCATCCATTCACATACAAATGATATTCCATATAAATCTGTATTACCACATAATAATTTCTTTATAACTCATTAAATTTCCTATGTCACAGAATGTTTCTTCTGATTTTCATCTGAAAAGGAGCTTGACAAATGCTTCTTTCCTGAATTCACGTTCTCTCTCTCTAGCTCTCCTTTTATATAACATTTCTAGGCAGGAATAATCTCTTATTTATTTGATAAGCTGTCATCCTATTAAGTAACTGAAAATGAGAACTTTTCCACTTAACTTTAAACTATTCACATTGGCATACCCTTCCCATGGAGAATAAAAGGAGTCTCAGTTCTGAAGACTCTGGAAACTGCTTCTCACACAGGTGATTAAAGCTGTGGATGAAGGCTATCGGCTGCCACCCCCCATGGACTGCCCAGCTGCATTGTATCAGCTGATGCTGGACTGCTGGCAGAAAGACAGAAACAACAGACCCAAGTTTGAGCAGATTGTCAGCATTCTGGACAAGCTTATCCGGAACCCAAGCAGCCTGAAGATCATCACCAGCGCGGCAGCAAGGTGACACTCAGATTTTGCTCTCACTCACACATCAGTGTGTTTTCTGTATCTCCACTGTGTTAATTTTCTTCTCCCACTTCCCTAACTGCATTGTTTGAAACTTGTTTTCCTGAGGACTGGAGAAAAGTGTCTTTCTTTTCTTCCTTTAAAAAAAAAGAAAAAAACTTCCAAGAGAAATTCTTATGTTGTTTAATTGTAATGATGAAATTCAGAGATATTTTTAACTTCCAGCTTGACTTATATTTGGGCTTGGGTTTAAATCTTCGGGAGATAGGAACCCTGGACACGTAGCTTCTTTTCACTCTCTACTATGTAAACAAAAATTTTAAGAGAAAAAAAAGAACTCTCCTGGAGTGGGGTGAATTCTAGCAAAGTCCTGATTCATTCCTCATCTAAAATAAAGCTTCAAAAATAATAAAGCTTCCAAAACATTGCACTGGGCCAGCAGATGCAGTTCCCCCCACTGTGTAACTAAACAAACATTTGTTGAACCTATAATTGTGTGCCAATGACTTTGTTAGACACTGTAGAGAATAAAACGGAGTATAAAATAATGTCAGTGTCCGGCAATAGAAGACAGATGTCAGTACATCAAAGCTATAATGCAATTCCAAATGCATGACAGGCATTAAATTGTATGCATATTCCTCCTGTGTTCTCTTAATGATTTTGAGGAATGCAAGTTAAAGTGTATCTAAAAAGTGCTATTGGAGAAATAGGGAATGAGAGATGACTTTTGCAGTGACCATGAGAAGGGAAAAAAAAAAGTGTTAATATATTTAATACTTCTCAGAGAAACTAAAGGCAAAGCTGTCATGTTTAAAGATTTATATTCTTATCGTACACATAAGAGCAAAACAGTTCTTTTCCATTCTGATGATATGTGCTCTTATAGGACAGTTACATGATTGTAGTAAAAGAACTACACTTAGTATGCATATATATCCACAGTATTAAGTGGGATGTAAAAATGCTACATAGTGAGTGATGATTTACCATGACTCATGTAAAAGATGTAAAAGATACAACATAATGCTTTATTCGAAGGAGTTTGTTTCTCTTTTGCTGTCTTTACTGATAATCACCGAGAATTATGACTTTCAAATTGATAGAGCATTTGCTGCTGCACTTTATAATAGCATATGATTTTTAACATTTTAACATTAAGAGGAACAATTATATTAAGACTGCGTGATCCAGGTTTTGCACTATATTTGGATGAAATGAATAAGAGGAATCTGAACCAAAGTCTTAATATTAGCATCTAAAATTATAGATTATTTGTTGAAAATAACATCTAGGGGTCACTAAGATTAAACTTGATGATATATCCTTAGCAGGAAAAACTACTTGTAACTTATCCTGTAAGATTGAATCTCTTGCTCAAATCTTCACAGAGAGAAACTGTACAGACTCTCTTGGAAATCCACCCGATGGGTTGGATCCACACAACGGGTTGGAGAAATCCCTTCTCTGGGCCATAGTTTGTACCCTGAATCCATTTCTTTTGATCTATATCAAATAGCAGTCATGGGGGGGAAAGCAAGAACAACAAAAAATAAATATCTTTCAGTTCTTTCCATATCATAAAAAAGACATGCAAGCCATTTCCATAAGATAGTATTTCTAACTCATGTAATATGATCAAGGTATATTTAACTCCAATTCTGTGTGGGGAAAATGGTGTTAATATCCGGTCATAGTATATCAGGATATCTCCTAGTACCCAAATTTTAAAATACTTCTTAAATTCACTTTTCCATTCTTATTGAAATTGAATATTATTTCTCCTAATATATATTCTTAGTACTTGATAAATTCTATGTATTTTGTCACAAAATAAGTAACTTTAGGAAAAATATTTTTCTGAGAAGTCCCATATATCTTAATTCACTTAAATATAAAAGTCATGGAAGTTGTGTTTACATGTTTATTTATTGTCCTTAAAACACACAACTAGGTGGACTGCATCAATACAAATTTATTAGTAACAACCTCAAGTTCCATATAACAGTGTCAAGAAAATATTTTTTTCCTTTAAAAAATTTGCTTTCCCATTTTAAATAATGCTTATTTCATCCTTTATCATCACTGATTAAACTCGTTCCCATCCCCCTTTAATTTTCCAGTGATGTCCTTGCCACATACTTCATTGAGAAAATCCGAGCCCTCAGATGGGAAGTTCTGGCAACAAAACAAAAAGTTAGGTGCCTGCACCTACCCATCTTGCTTTTTTTTTTTCTCTGTCTCTAAGAGGGGCGTAGAGCAAGGGTCCATCTACTTGTCAGAGACAAATCCTTCCTTTCTCTCCCTCTCCCCCAACTTTCTCCCTCTCTCCTCCTTTGCATATCTAGACACTTTTGGGGGGCAGAATCATTGCCACAGAAATGTGTTAAATTACATCGTTTCTCAAATTCCCCCGGCAAGGAGCACCTGGGTGGCTCAGCGGGTTAAAGCCTTTGCCTTAGGCTCAGGTCATGATCCCAGGGTCCTGGGATCTAGCCCCGCATCGAGCTCTATGCTCAGTGGGGAGCCTGCTCTGTCAAATAAATAAATAAAATCTTAAAAAAAAAATTCCCTGGCAATAAGAATCACAGGATAACTAATTAAATAGATAGTTATCCTGGTCTAGGAAACTCTAGGAAAGGGGAATAGAATTTGGATAGCTTGATAAAAAACTTCAGGTGATTTTTATCATACAGGGAGTTTAGGAGATGCTGTTTGCCAACATTACCTCTGCTGACCTCACATCTCTGCCAGATCCTTCCTTCTTTATCCACAAGACTTCATGGCCAAACTTCTCAAATCAGAGTCTCACAGTGTCTTCAAAATTAATATTCAAAAAATTTATGCTTTTATTTTCTCATGGTAGCTTCACCCTTCCACTGCTTTCCTAATTTAATTTCTTTTGTGTGTTTTCTTTTTAAGTATCCATTACTCAGATAAATTCTAAGTCCTATGAGATCAGATGCCAGGTCTCTCTTATATTACCAGTACCACGTTGGTACTGGGAACTCAATGACTATCTACTAAGTACACCAATATACATTTTCTAAAATAATAAACATCCATTTCAATAGATAAAGGATTTTTTAAAAATTCTTGTTTTTTTTCCTATTCATTATATAGATTTATGCAGACATTGGTCATAATACTAAAATCTTAAAATCTTCTCCTAAGCAAAATTTCATGTCTTTATCAACTCACTTCCAAAATGTCCTCATCCAAGCACACTAGGAGACTGTCCTCATCTGATTTTGTGGATGGCACCAAGAATTCAAGCTTCTGAATGACTTATTTAGATCAGTGTATAGAATTATGCCTATAAACTCCATTAGGAAAAGTAACATTATTCCATCATTCCAAGGAGATGATGTTTTCCAGAGTCAGCCTGTGTCTAGTTAGTTTCATGGCAAAATTTATTTCATATACATTACAGAAATCCTTCTACAATGCATCATTTCACTTTTCAACCTTCATTAGAGTTGGTGATTCATAACAGAATAATTCCCAGATAACCTTCCACTAAGAGTGTCTTTGTGAATATTCCTGCTGGAAGTGGAAGGGTATATAAGCAGATGGTCAGGGTGTGCCAACTAAAATCTTAGATATTGCAAGAGGTGGTGAGAAAAGAAGGAGAGTGTTATTAAATTTTATGTTATGTTTGTCTTCCAGTAATTGATTTATTTTCCTAAAAGTAGTGTAATTGAAGGAGACATACATGAACTTGAAGTTTAGACAGTACATTGATATGAAGCCACAGATGTTCAGTTAGAAGTTACTTTGTGCCAGGCATTTTACTAGGCTCTGTGATGATTAGTCGTAAAGAAGAAGTAACTTTTGAACACTGGATGAAATATCTTTAGGCAGATCAGATCAGATCAGGCTATGGGAACACTGTGCAAAGAAGTCAAAACACAAAGACTTAGGCTACTTCCAAATTTTTTGGCATCATACAATTCTGCAGGAATATAGGATTTAAAAAGCCAAGGATGAAGAAAGAGCCTGATAGATTATTTCACAGGATAATGGAAGATTTTGTGGCATCATTAGAGATCTGGACTTTTGTCCATAAGGAAAAGAGAAACCATGGAAGATACTTAAGTGACATGTGGTCTGCTGCCTATCAAATAGGTCTCTGGCAGATAGTCCTAAGAGCTGGAGTAAAGACATTCATAATAAGGAGTTGGGAGATGATTTCAGTTGTTTAAGAAAGAACTTCCTCTCGGGTAGATCAGAGGAAACAAAAAGAAAATGTATGAATTCAAAAAGTTTTACGGAAGTATTATAGGACATGGTGGCCAAGGAGCTGTGCAGATCGACAGAGAAAGTGTTGGAGAGTACTTCTTGGTTTTGAACATGGAGGACATGAGATCAGTGCTCTCACTGACAGCATAGGAAGAGCATAAGGAAGAGCAGGTCTGTGAGACAGAAGAGCATTTTGGAACAATGAGACCAAGTCCCACAGGAAACTAGAAGTTCACATCTCAAACTGGGGGAGAAATTAAACCTGGGCAATCAATATAGAGCCTACTCTCTATAAAGATAATAAAAAGCCTCACAGAAACTTGCCTAGGGCTACAGACCTCAATCTAGCAATGCTGGGTTGGTTGGTTTGATTTTTATTTTTAAGATTCTATTTATTTGTTTGAGAGAGAGAGGTAACACAAGCTGGGGGAGGCAAAGGGAGAGGGGCAAGTAGATTCCACACTGTGTGGAGAGCCTGACATAGAGCTTGATCTTAGGTCCCTGAGATCGTAACCTGAGCCTAAGTCAAGAGTTAGGCACTTATTGACTGAGCCACACAGGTGCTCCTAGTAATGATGGGCTTTATCACAAATATATCTCTTTTTATTTTTCTAAAATTGTAATTTGTAATTAAAACTTTGATATCTCATGGATTATAAAGAGATTTTAATCTATGAGTAGTGGAGGGTGTCTGTTCACAGAGGTTGACATTGGGTCATCCCACCCTTCCCCCCCAATCCATGCTTCTTCTT